CCCCCCTCCCTGGCTTGCTCCCCACCCAGCACCCGCACAGGCCAAGCCATCCCCTCCCCAAGGCTCATGTCAGAGTCTGCCTCTGCTCTGCATCCCAGCCGGGTGGTCTTGGGCAGGTCAGCTAACCCCTCTGGGGCTTGGTTCTCATCTAGAAAGTGAGGCTAATGTTGACTTCGTGGGGCTGCGATGAGTTGGAAATCAGATAACACAGTGTTCAATTAACTTTTACTCCCCGCCTTTCTGTCCCTTCCCCGAAACTGCTGTTAGGCTGCCCTTTCCAATAAAGTGCCTGGGAGAGCAGAGTCATCAATAATGGAGTCACTCGCAAGCCCAGACTCCTCTTCCCTGCTACGGAAAGAGCCAGCAGAACACTTTTCAAATGTAGTTACTTCCCATGGAAACGGACTAGCAGTTTCAGATGCCTCTCGTCATCTCTCTTCTTCTGTGACAGCTGGGCAACCCCTTCAGACATTGGGCTTGTTTTTCTTTGGTTATGAGCCGGCTTTTCATGCCATAAAATCTGTGACAAGTAAAGACAGTCCCTGAATAAAAGGGCGATGTGACTAAAGCACGAGCAAATGCTGAACTCTGTATGTGTGTGCTGGGGTGCAGAGACATATGGGTGGCTGGGAAAATACAGTCCCAGTCTCCCTGGTAGGGAGCCTTGGGGGCGGGGGGGAGGGACACCCAGTCACGCCTGCGCACCCTGAATGAACCCATGCACGTGGGAGGTAGTCCTCCCCTCTGAACATAAGAGCGGTGGTTCTCAACTCTGGCTGTCCTGAGTTGCCTGGGAGCTTTCAAAATGATGCCAGTGCCTGGCGCCCCCCGCAGACTGGTTACGTGGGAAGCCCTGGGGTGCTGATTGAGCGCCCCCACATTTGTTCAGACTGAAGCCATTCTCCAGTGGAGAGCCACTGCTTATCTGAGCAGAATGGGAAGGTCCGTTCTCTCCTAAATGAACACCATCAGGACCTGGTTCCCACCCCTGAGGCTTCAAGAGCGATTGACTTACCATTTTTCTACATTCCGAAATTCTTGGCCAGTGAAATAAGGAGCTAGCATTGGGCTTATTTGCTGGGCTGCAAATGATCTGGTAATAAACACCGCTTCCTGTTGGTTTGGGTTACTGGTTTGCTTCGGGAGGGAGCGGGACATCGGCCCAGACAATCCCTGCCATCTTTGAGGTCTGGGGACAGTTTGGTACAAGGAAGACCTTAAAGACTGCCCCGCTCTCCTTGTGTCTCATTTCCCTTCCCTTCTGCTTCCCACATTCACCATTATGTGCCCCAGGGCGAAACCAAATGTGTGGACATAGGCTCATGCCTACTCTGTCAAAAGTGTAGAGTTTTCTAGGACTCCGAGTGGGAACTAGAACAATTTTCCACCCCTTCCCTCCCTCCATCCCTCTCCATCCCTTTCAACAAGCCCATCAATCTCTCTGAACTTCTTTGAGAAGAAAGAAAAGAAAGAAAGGGGGTACACAAGGAGACAAGAGATGCTGCTGCTGGCCTTCAGCAGAGAGACATGGGGAGAAAAATCACCAAGAAAAAAAAAATGAACAAGACTTGAGAAACTGAACTCAGCAAAATAAGTTTGAGAGACACACCGGAACATTGCTCTTCAAAGCAGGACAAAATGCGGAAGATCCTTTGCATTCTATGGCCAGAAACCAAGATGGCATCCCTCCCTCCTCTCAGCCCTCATCCCTGCCTTGTTCTTTGAACAAAGATGATGCTGACATTACACTTCTGTTCGAAAAAAAAAAAAAAAAATCAATGATCAATTTGGACCTCTCTGGCCAAATCCCCGATTTGGGAATGAAGTAAAAAAAAAAAAAAAAAAAAAAAAAAACAGAACTCCATCCCAAGGAGGAAAACCTTTGAAAGCCGAGTGTATTTGAGTATGGGATTAAGGATCATAGGCACTGGTTTTGCATGAACTGTTCTGGTCTTCCTGGGATATGTTTTTAATGCAGTGATGATAGCCTTCCAGTGGCTGCTGGCAGCATCTCAGTATCTCCAGGGATGAGAAGGAAGGGCGTGCTTGGGAAGCCTTTTTCCCAGCAGGCTTGGAGGTGATTAGCACAAGTCACGAGCATGGAGGGGGAGGGGGAGGCCACCATGCAGCCCCTGGCTTATTAAGAGTGAGATCTGATGCTGGAATCCTCAAAGCAAAAAAAAAAAAAAAAATCAATGACCCAGGAAAACTACACCAGCTGACAGCCCCAGGAAAAGGCTCAAGGAAGAGTTGCAAAGAAGAGAAAGGCTTAAGTAACTTTCCAAAACTCTCTGTTAATCTGGGAGGCCCTATACTGTACACACAATGGCTGGGACCCCTGACATTCTGGTACTTTCTTTCATGTGGAAACACCATCCTTCCTTCATCCCCTTCTTCCCAGGGCAAAGGGCTCCCAAGTCTCCCTCCCCACCCCCCAGCTTCAGTTTTTGATGTTTCCCTTGTTTAGAGAAACAAGTACTATAGGCATTGTCAAAGGCTGCTCCCCAGCGCTGGGCAATTCTTGTAAGGCTCTGTGGGGAAACGGGGGGCACTATCTCCTTACAGACCTCTGGTTTCTAATGCCTCCCAGTTCGTAAAAAAGAGTAGGACCACCTGTCCCCAGGAAAGCAGGCATCAGGGTTTGAGGCTCCCAGGGTTCGGGGTGGAGGGGATTTTGGAATTACATGATGGGTATCCACTGCTTTGACTAAAGCAGTTGAATGAACCCTCAGATGGTCACCTCTGGAGCTTGGGAATTTTTCCCAATGCTGTATATCACAGAGTTAGGGGGTCCTTAAAGGTTTCGAGTCAAACCAATCAACAAAAGACTTTATCTTTCTCTCTGAGCCTTCTCTAATGTTTCCCTGATGCCACACAATATAGCATTTAGATTTAAACCTGAACGTGTCTGTGCTTTGGGAGGATGTAATTTTTTTTCTTTCTTCTCCCAAAAAGGCTCCCTGACACTCTCTCCCTAGCCCTCAGATCCCTGAGGAGCAAGGCTGATCAGAGTTAAAATGGAGGCTGCTTGTGGACAACTTGGCCAAATCACCATTTCCCAGCGGCGCAGGGAGTTTTAAACCCTGGAATTCAGGTTCACACTGAAAGCAGAAGGAAATACCTATTTTTATCATTTACTGTCATTAAGAAGAACATGTATCAAAATATCCATTTCCCTTAGGATGTGGCATCCCTGTTGGATAGCTCCAACACACCTTCTAGAACGGTCGCTACATACAGACAATTCCAAACTTGGGTGGTAACCTACAGACGGCAGCAAACACTGCAACTGTTTCACTAAAGAAACAAACTCCAAGTGTCTATAATCTGTGAAAACAATCTAATGGTTACACCACAATTTACCTAAAGCAATATTTGTTCAGTTGCAGTGATGTCACCAGAAAAAAAAAAAAAGGTTTGTCAGCTTTCAATGCTTTCTCCACAATATTCAGAGCTAGAGGGTGGCAGATTCAGAACTGCTTTCCATAGCTTAAGCAAATACGGAACTTTTCTAACAGCCAAGAAAGTTCTGTTACCAAAAAAAAAAAAAAAAAAAAAAAAAAAAAAAAAAAAAAA